GTAGTTTGGAAGACAACTTACTTATAGCATGGTACACGTCTTCCATGCTTACGAAGATAGTGCGAGCAACTCCTCGTCCAGAGGAAGCACAAGGATACAATCCGTCATTCTTAGCCAAGAAATCAAAATTTTGCGTCTCAAATAACATTTTTAGCGACGGTAAAATAGGGCCGTCGCAAAAAAGTCAAGAAATTTCAAACGTTATTAGCGACTGCACGGTGCCGTCGCAAAAAGGTAAAAAATGCCGTCGCAAAACATTAGCGACGGCACTTACCGTCGCAAAAACTCTTTTGCAACCCCTGCAGTTGCGACCCCCCTCTTACCGTCGCAGAAAGTTATTTTGCCGTGGCAAAAAGTATTAGCGACGGCAGTAGGAGTATTAGCGACGGTATTTTACCGTCGCAAAAAGTCATTTTTTTTGTAGTGCCTCCCGTCCATCCACTCCACTGGAGGGTACTATTGGGCCCGTAAGAATTCATCATAGATTCTGTTTTGATACTCAAAATCGTTAAATGTGTAGAACTCGTTGAGTATAATATACTTATAAAAAATCACATTGATCGAATATCAATAGTTACGTAATCAAATCAGTTTTGTATAAAAAAAAAAATAGACGGTAAAAAATAAACGGTTAACGATAATTTGATCCGATGAAATAGTTATCAATATTCGATCAATGTGATATTTTACAAGCATATAGTATTTAACGAGTTCTACACATTGAACGGTTCAGATTATCGAAATAGGACTCGTGACTGGCAGGTCCGGTCTTGAGATTTTCGGAGCCTAAAGCCGATAATCAACTATTAAATTTCTGGGGCCCTTCACATTTTTTTTTATTGAATGAAAAAAAAATTAAGGTAAAGGACAAAATATTTGTATTAAAATCACAAAAAATACTTAGAATTTTTTTTTAATTAATTGAATAGAAAAAAAAATTACGTATGCTTGCTGTGGTGAGATCAAAATATTTTTTAAAATCAAAATTCAAAACAAGAGCACCACCACTTAATAAAACACAAAACTTTTAAATTATGTGATGTGAACTATTAAACTTAAATAAATTCTTCTTGATGATGTAAATACCAATATTATAATAGCAATTAATTGTGCAAAAGACAAGATAAATATTTAATTAATTAAATATAAAGAAATAAAAAAAATAAAAAATTTACCTATTTGCTGCTGCTCCATCCCTAAGCTGCTGATGTGTGCTATATCAAACAAATGTAGGGAATGCTGGATTAATAGAAGATAGGATTAGGAATTAGAAAAAATGGGCCTTTCAAATGGTTGGGCTGAGCCTTAACTATTGGCCTTTTAATGGGTCAAAAAAATTAAGTTAGT